TACCATAATTACCACAACTCCAAAACCCCAAAACCCCAAAACCCCAAGTACAAATTAAGAAAGTTTTTGTAAAAAAGTTAATAAAATATTGATACTTCTTATGAGCTTATAAATACATTATTTTATTTTATTAATGAGCGTATAAATATCTATATAATTAGGGGTGACGAAATCAAAGATTATAGCTGAAATGTTCTGGTTGATCTTAGTGGAAATTCTCTAACTAGGGTTAATTTTGAGAGTCAAATCTAGGTCTCATACTTTTTCTATGAGTTTTTTTTAAGCTACCTCTTCTTTTGCCCTTGTTTGGACTTCTCCGTTTAAGTGAATAATCAAATTTGTTATTATGGCGTGAATTATCTACAAAATCATCCATTTAATTTGAAATATTATTTAAGTTTTGTGTAGAATCCATGCCAGTCATATTAGTAATGCTAAGATCTAATGTAGATTTATAAGTAGGTTTAATTGATCTTCTAGGTGAGCTTTTCTGAGTTTACTATGGTTCTAATTATTTATCACCCACTTCTTTAAAAATGCCTTAATTAGCAAAATCCTCTTGAGCCTTTTTTGCTCTTTGCAATCTTATGTTTTTAAGTAACTACTTTACTTTCTGAGAGATCATATAGACATTAAACGCAACTAGATTTATCCAATTCAAGAGTATAACTCCAAGTACAATAGCAACAATGAACCAACCAAGATTGTACTTTGTTTCCCTATTAATGGTGATACTTAAATTAAATCTTACGCTGTTTCTTCATCAAAATGATTCATTCCAAAAGGTATTATTAAGTAAGCTATACTCATCAGTACTATTTCATTAAACATTTCAACTATTAATAAGGAATATGAATCAATTGGGTTATAATTGTAGAGAAACCATAGTAGTCCAAAACTCAAAAATACTTGTAATTACATTTAGAAAGCAGTATAACTCCCCAAAAATGTAATGGAAAAAGCAAATATCAATCTCCTTACAAAAAACAGAGAAGTATATATAACTGAAATATGGGAATTTCTCAAGTTTAGATAGAGTGTCCCAAATCTAGATGAAAAATCAGGATCTCTAAGTTTGTCTTTGTTTTTCTCAAGAAAGAAAAAGCAGGTAATGGGAGTAAGGAAAATGACAAATGCCATTAGTATGCTAGTAAACTAACTTATCAATCCTTCTTGATCCTATGGAAATTATTGGGAAATATATTTTTACAGCTTGCATGGATAAAAGCATAGCAATAGCAAAATTAAGATAGCCTTTCATCAAAGCTCTTAAAAAAGCATTGAAGAATATTTTCCTCTAAATTGAGTCTAATATTTTTCTTGCTTTCTCTGATTTCTTTAATAGTATTCTAAGGCCCACTATAGCTACACCAAAAATGGCAATTAATATTATTATGAAGAAAACAAGTCCAATATTTCTTAGAATATTAGTCGATGTAATTCGTAATAAGAGTTAAATGCCACAACTTACGTGTGATTGAGTTATGAAATTAAGAAGAGTATTAAAAGATATCATTATTTGCTAGATTTCCATTTTACTATTTGTTATCATCTTTGACAAGCATGTCGAGGAAATTCTTCATTGTGTCAGGAGGAATAATATTCAAATTTGATATATCTCTTAAAGATTATGTCAATAGTAGCACATTTGAAGGTATAGAAACTTAAAGGAGAGGCAAGTTTACAATAATTTGTAATGTATTCATTAACATCCACAGTTATTTAAGGGACAATCCCATAAGAACTGAAAGAGCCAAATTAGCAGTCATAGTTCCTGTCATTGATGTTCCAGCCTAGCCAGATATAGAGGTAAGCATTAAAGTGCTTGCTACAATATAAAAATAGCTAAATTTTACAAGAATTTGATAATTGAGGAGGCACATTTCTATATATTTTGCTCTTGTATTCAATCATTGAATCTAAACTAGAGCTCACAAAAAATTGTGTTACAATAAAAGTTATCTCGATCATATCAAAGTCCTAATCAGCAAAAATTAATTGGAAGAATTTTTCATACATTTATTGAGACTACCATAGGATTTTGGAAATTTACTTGGAGCTTAACTAAGTTATTTAAGAAGGACTTTACCTCCCATGATTTGATGTAATTGGTTGATTTTTCATTGGCTGGTCTAAGTTTCACATCTAAAGCATTATATTTTGATATTTTATCAAGGTCTGTAATTTCTATTAAGTTATTTGAGAATTTTATAGTGACTTCTCCTTTCATTCCAACATATGAGATTGTTGCGTTTAGCTTTTTTATCAGTTTCGCTCTGTCAATCTTCTTTCCTCCTACATTGAATTCTTTTACGTTAAATCCGAAAAATGAGTCCGTTACTACTAAAGTATTTCCTACTTCTTCAGTAGTACTACTTTAATTTGTTGCCTCTTGAGGCTTTATTGTAATCTTTAGACTATAAGATTGGCTTAAGGGAGTTTCATTATGATCTGTCAATGTAATTGTTACGGTAAAGGTTCCAACCTTCTAAGCTATTCCCTTTATTTGGAATGAGGGCTTTTTCCAACTTACGAACTAGTTGACAGAGGCTACATTTGTAGTTATTGAGTAATCATCACCATCATCATCTATAATCTCTGGTATCGTTAGAGTAGTGGATTCTGGCACTGTAAGTACAACTTCTGCTAAATCTGCTGCAAAATAAGGTGGACCTTAATTGTTAGGACCGATTATTATTGTAAAATTTACAGTGGCAGTTTTCTTATCCTAGTAAAGCTGACCAAAAAGTTAAATTGTATATGTTCCAATTGCAGCGCCTGTTGTAGCGGATATGTTAAATTATCTCAAAGTTGGATTGAATGTTATAAATCCATTTGTATTATTCTTAACCCCATTAATTGTTATGTAATAGCTGAAAGGTTTACAAGATCCATATGACTCATTCCAATTATTGAAGGTAAATAAAGTCGAATTAGTTCTTATTTTATATTAATACTCTGGAATCGGATCAGTTGTGATTATTGTATTTAGACAAGGTCTATAGATATTTACTGTAATTTGAACTGATGCTGTTGGAGCAACACTAATAGCTGAAATTTTTAACTCAAAGGAAGGCACAGAAAATGTTATAAAGCTTATAGTTACTTTTCCTGTGGCTGCTGAAAAGGAAGTTAGAAAAGGATATACAAGTGAGTTGGTTGACATACAGTTCACACCATTTTAATCTTGACAAGCATAAGAATAGGTTGCACATTACGAATAACTTGAAGTAAAAATTCCTGGTGATATTGTTTAAGAAAGGCCAAGTGTATATGTAAATGAGAAGTCGCTAGGAGGTGTGACTACATTGAGTCCACAACTTAATTTATAAGTTACCTAGATTTAATAAGACCCATAAGCAGGAGGATATTTATCTGGATAGCACCTTATTCTTACATATTGGTATAAACCATCAAGAGAAGCATCAGCTGTGTTGATTGTGAAGTTCATTGTTGATTCTGTAAATGTGAATATCGTACTTGGAAGAATACCCCAAGATTATGATAATGCTTCATATCTTAATGGGCCACAAATTGGGATTGAAATTGAAGTAGAAAAAGCATTAATGGTATAGGATCAGGAACCTTCTCCAATGTTATATAATATATTTCCTATTGAGGTTACTGAATAGGAGGCAGATGCGCATGGATTGATAAATTATATATAAAATGTACCAGTTGCAGACATACCATTTTAAATACTCTGCGTCATTATGACTTCGTAAATACCAGCATCACTCATAATTGAAGAAGAAACAGAAAATGTTAACTTTCCATTGAATGATACTGTATTTGGTAATGCTGGTGAGGATGAATATGAATTTGAATAAATAGCATCATCACAGATGACATTCAAATAGCTTGGAATTACAATGCTAGTAGTCGGATTTCCTATAGTATAAGAATATGTAGTAACTGAACTAGGAGCAGTCATTGACACAGTTACACCACTACTCGTACACCAAGGCTTAGTGATTATTTTAGATAAATCTATTGGAGTAAACAATATAGAAGTATCTTCCATGTATGAATGCATTGAAGTTAAGTAAGCATTTGAACTATACTACCAATAGTTTGCTTCTAAAATAAGATATTTATATTCGTAAAAAGACTGAGTATATTATACACAACTATCTGAAGGATTATAGCTCATGACATAACCAAATGGATAATCATAATTGAACTAGGTACTTCCATCATTCAGCTTAACAATATTTGAGAACCCTGCATAATACATTTGAGTTTCACTTAACATACGTGCTTAATATACAGCATTTGTGGGATCTTAAAAAGGTTTCATTTAGTAAAAGTCACGTTCAAGTACCCTATGTGCCCTAAAAAGAAAAAAACGTCAGAGCACATAAGAACCTCTTAAAATGAGTCCAATAGCTCTATCTTTATTTATAGCTACTAATCCTGCACAGTATCCTGAATCGCTTGATTAGTAAGATGTAAAACTAGTCATATTTGTTGGATTTAAATCATCATAAGATATTCTGATGAATCCATATGTAGTACTTTCAAAGCAGCCTATCATATGCTTATCACCATCTTTTACAAATGCTTATCTTCTGATATGTCTGCTATTACTGCCTTGATTTGATGTTATATATGTGTGAAAGTTTAGTGTATTCATATCCATCAGCCCCCAATCCATAGATGATGATGTATAGCCTGATATATAAATATGCTTTAAATTATCACTTATCATAGATACAGGCTAAAATCCATTATAATCATAAACTCTTGATAAAGTACATGTTAGAGTTGGATTTGAAAAGCTGAATTTGATTAAAGCAAGCCCACCTTCCATCCCTTGAAAAGCAATTAAGAATGTGTTATCATCTATTATTAATATGTTATCATTGTTAGACCAACCCCAGTGTGGTCCTGAATTATCAATAATATTAGCAATTATAGAGCCATCTTAATTATCAATCATTGATATTGCTATAGTTGAAGAAGGTGGATTGCTAAATGTATTTAAAACAACTATTGAAAACTTATCACCTTCTAATAATTCTACTGCTTAAACTTGTTAAAAAGTTGTAAAATATTAAGGAGAGGGAATAATTGTAGAAGCCCATAATAATCCAGCAGCTTTATCAAAAAATACCAAAATAGGCATATCTGTAGTATATGAAGTCAAATCCGAATCTCTTGAATAACCTCCTGCTACAATATTCATAGTTAAAGGATCGATGTCAAATGCTAAAAACTAAGTAGGCCCAATTAAACCTCCTAAAAGTTTCGGGAATTACACCTATCCTCCAAAACATACAGTATTGTTTATAAGCTGGGGAAGGAGTATAAAATTGATAAAGATGACAAGAAATATCCATGTTTAAATCGAGATAGGCATTTAGTGTTTTAGTACAAATTACACAAATCCTTGAAAATTAATAAATATTTATATCAATTAATCTTTTATCAATGTCTTCAATTTGATATATGGGGTTTTGGGGTTTTGGGGTTTTGGGGTTTTGGGG